TCTTTGAGAGACAGTTAGTTGTTGAAGAGTAGATGAAAATGGTGGTTTTGGCAGGCAGGTGAAAAAGGCTACCACCAAACAAATTGCATGCGATGGGATGTGATATTGGATCGATGATCATGAAATGGAATAATTGCTCATGAAAATTATATGGAGGAGGTTTATTTGAAAGGTACAGGATGAGAGTGTCTCTGTTCACTTTTATGTCACTCATTCATGAATGCCCCAATCCTTTACAATGAGGTCATTCATGTTTCAGCATTAAAAAAAATTAAGATTCACTACCTCAATTTTGTCCCTTCTTAGTTATTGAAACTAATTAAGTAATTTAAACCTCTCTCTTTCTCACGCGCGCGCGTACACACAAACACATGCACAGATAAACACGCCAACTAGTTAGTTGGGAAAGGAAGATGTGGCCATAGAAAAATCTAAGCAATAAGCTTTATTGATGCGATAGTAAATAAAATGAACTACAACAAATCAACTTGTTGTGAATCAGTAAGCAAATATTATCTTCAGTAAGTACTAAAATTGGAATGAATACAATTAGATTAAAATCAGCTGCTTTTTATTTGTTTTTTCTGAATTAAGCTTGCAAACACATACATAAATGCTCCATAGAGTCATTACAGAAAATAAGCATAAAATTGCATCAATGAAATTTTAGTTTTTTCATGCACAAAATCAGAACACAGAAAAATGCATAGGAAGTGCACTGTGTGGTTTAAATTTATTTAGTATGGCTTACATAACACTAAAGATAAATCTCAATCATACATCACACTTTCAGTTTTGATAACAGTTTTAGAATAACATGTAAAATAAAGATAGTTCTTACAAGTAAGGTACATTTAGATTATTTCAGTCTAATTTTTAAATCAAAGTTAAAGAAGTGAAAGAGCAATTGAGCACAGTCAGAGATACAGTTTAGCATAGGCTAAATGTGAAGCCAAAAGTGAAAATTGCACATTATTAAGATCAATATAGTAAGTAACAAATAGCATATCTTACAGAACAAAAAAATATATATAATAAGTAAAACATTTCAGAAGGAATTCTAATAATCTTTAATACATAGTACTATTTTATGTTCACATAGGCAAGCAAAAACAAAAATAGGATGGCTAAAAAATGGAAACAAAAATCTACCAGTCCACAACTAACACTCATTCCACATCATATACTTGAAATTTCTACTTCACGCACGTAAGCTGAATTCGATTTCACACGTATGGTGTCATTATCAAATCATGGAATGCATATATACTAAAATTTATGGTGAAGTATTGCAATTCAATTTATGTGGAGAATTAACTAACTACCTTACATTGAAATATTGTTTAAGCAACATTGCACAAGAACAATGTCTTCGTGTAGATGACACCCTGGAGCTAAGGGGAAGTATGCAAAGAAAGAATTATAATTTCAACAAAACACAATATTCAAATGGACAGAAAATCGAACCTCAAGATATGTTGACACTAATCTTTAAGCACGAAACTCAGTTACACTAAAATATTTTTTTCTTCCATTTCCCTTATTTTTATTTTTATTTTTCCTGCTAAGAAAACTCATTTAAAAAAATTTAAATCAAAAAAGGATATTGTTCAATACTTAGCGAAAAAGAGAACAAGTATATCGTGCAATTCTAGTGCAACCATACACCTGACTTAGGGAAGCTTCCCTAGTCTATTCCATGGGCCTTAGCAACTATTATTCTTGGTGACTGGTGAATCATGTCTTCTCACCAGAAGAGAGGGCATGTGAAAATGGGAGAAGTGTTATATGGTCTTAGGTAAAACTCAACCCCAAAAGCTAGCTTTTGAAGTGAGGGTGCCCTTATACTCATATACTTAATAGTACTTTAGTACTCAGGTGATATGGTACTTCGCTTCACACCCTTCTTTACGTCTAGCGTGCTCACTCGGCGGTACTCGTGGCATGCAGGCCACGGACACACACTCTATCCATCCTTGAGTACTCTGACTCTAATATCATGTTACATGGTCTTGGGTAGAACTCAACCCCAAAAGTTAGGTTTTGAGGTAAGGGTGCCATCATGCTTATATGCTTAACATTGGCCCCGTTTGGTAGAGTTGTGGAAAAGTGATTATAGATTATAATTTAACAGATTATGGCTTATAGCACTACAACAATTTACACATTTGGCGATCACTTTTGCCGACCAAAAAAATTTTGATCGCAAAAAAATGACATTTGGTGACCAAATATTAATTAGTCGCGAATGATTATTGTTTTTGGCGACCAAATATTATTGGTCGCAGAAGGTTATATTTTGGCGACCAAAAAATATGTTGGTCGCAGAAAGTTGTATACTTTTGCCGACCAACAACAAATTTGGTCACGGAAGGTCACATATTTTTTGGCGGCCAAAAATTTGGTCGCAAAAAACTTATTTTCAGCAACCAAAAAAAATTAGTCGCCAAATTAGTACTTTTAGCGACTAATATTTTAGTCGCCGTTGATTGAGATTTGGCGACTAAAAAAATTTGTCGGCGAAAGAACCTGTTTTTGCGACTAATTTAATCTTTTGGTCGCCAAAAGTTTGGGGGGAAATTTGAAACTTGGGGCTGGAATTGAATTTCAGAAAAAAAAAAAAAAATTAAAGCCCTGATCTCCCTTGTCTCTATCTAAAAAAAGCCCTAATCTGTGTCTCTCTATGTTGGCCCGCCCCTCCCTCTTTCTGTGTTCTCTCTCTCAATCGGTGCCCACCCTCTCTAGCTCACCGAAGTCCCTCACCACCATTGCTCATGTTGGTCGCACGTCGCCACCGCTGCAAATCGCCATCGCCAATAATTTTCTACTTCACACTGTTGATGCATCAATCGAACCCAGATTGGGGTAATTTGGTTTAATATGGTGATATGTAATAAGTTTCTCCTAATATTGGATCCCTAGTAATCAATTTCCTTTGTTGAGAAAGAACCCAGATTGGATGTCTCTCTTTCCTTTCTCTCCATCGGCATCAATTTTCTTCCTATGAACGAAGATCAATCGAAAACGACGACATCGATCGCCTCCTTCTCGTCCATTCCGATCTCTCCTCTCTCATTCACCAGGTAACTAATTCGTACTTCTAGAGAGAAATGAGATAGCAATTTCATATTTGATCGAACAATGGTTGGGAGGAAATTGATTCACTGAACTGCATCATTCTCTCTCTCCTTCAATTTTCTCATAATGTGTGATTGTCATTTCTGTTCGGTTTGTGTTAGATTGACAGTGCTTGCTAGGATGTAGAAGATTACAGAATGATTTTGAAAATATTTTCATGGAACTTGAAATGTTGATTTCTCCTGTTATCCTCATATAGCTATTAATAATCCAGATGTCCTATGTTGTCTGATGAATCTCAGGTGCTGTACAGAACGTAATTTAGTGCTTGCTGGTGATGATTTTCTTTTACTTTGTGGTTCAAACTTGTATTAGCTTGGTTCTGATATGCAAATTTGCTGCGGATATGTACTGTTAACTTTTTGAGAAGCCTTGCTCTTAGTTCATGTCTTGAAAATGGATTGTATGGTTTTAAAATTCTTAGAAAATTACCCTAACTTCGTAGATATCCCTTATAATTTCAAGGAAAATTTGGGATATTCTTTCTAATATCCCCTGAAGTATGTTTCATTTGCCTCTTTTGATTTAGCTAACGAGTACTGTTTAATCATCCGTGACTGCCCCACCCTGTTAAGATCCGAGTATACAGCTTCCCACTTCATGTAGAAACATGATTAAAGTGATCCAAGCGTCATCACAATCACAAGGCATAATATTGTAACTCTGTGTGTGTGTGTGTGTGTCATGTTGTACATATGCAAAAACTTTGTAGTTCACATCTGTGCTCTGTATAGCTTCTTTATGCACTTTGTGTGAGCATATAACATGTAATATGATCTCGAAGGTAATATTGCTTTACTTGATTTCCCTATAGTAAGTTTGTAGGTGCATTTTTACATAGATAAGTTTTGGAGTATAGGTAGGGATGAGTTTTGTGCTTTTTCATTTAATAGATAGCGAAACTTGTGAAGGAAATTCATGATCGATTTTGGTATCACATCATTTGTATAAAAAGTCAGTTTGTATAGCATTACCCATTTAGATATAAGACCATGAAATACTGGTCTCATTAGATATAAGACATATCATTCTGTATAAATTTTTTTAAACTCCCTTTTTCGTGCGCCCATGTCATTTTATGATTCTACACCTTTGGGAAGGATATTGAGTTGAGTAAGTGTCTCCAACACTTAAGTATGAATTGTGTTTTGGCATATCAAGGATATTCATGAAACTAGCTTTCCAAATCTTCACTTTTTTTTTTTCCTTTTATGTAGGTGTCAGTTGATTTGAGTACTGTTGATCTTGATATTCCATTTAGCTTTATCTTCTGTGTTGGGGCTACCACAAATGCGTATTCTAATCTTGCGGTGTTAGCTATTGTTACTTGGCCAGTCCTGTTTGTCTCCATACCAATGGTTCTTTTTGCAATTCACTTACAGGTAATCCTTAAGAGGTTTTTAACGATGAATATTTTCTGCTATTTAAATCTCCTACGTAATATGACAATTGGATATGAAATGAAATTTAGTAAGCAAGCGTTGACAATCAGGAGATTTAGGATTTTTTTGGCAATTGGTGTTATTAATGATCATAGTTCTTAAAATCATATGACGTACGATTCAAAACTTAAAATTTGAGTTTTTTCAAGCCCTAATCAATACGAAATGGTTGAGTGAATTGGTGGAGGGCATAAGCCGGTATGTGAACTGATGAATCAACTGAAGTAGAAAAACAAATTAAATATAATTAATGTTGCAAAAACTTTATAAAGCAGAATGTGATAATTCTTGTGTCTTGCTGCTTCTTTTTCCTCCTCCTTATGAGGGGATTTGTCATTGTGTGTGTGTTAAATCTCAAATCTCAACTACTAAAATTGTTGGAAACTTGCATTATTCACAGAGATACTACTTCCCCACTGCGAAAGAATTGATGCAGCTCAATGGCACAACCAAGTCTTTGGTAGCAAACCATCTTGCTGAGTCCATAGCAAGATCCATGACAATAAGAGCTTTTGAGGAGGAAGACCGGTTCTTTGTCAAGAATCTTGACCTCATTGATGTAAATGCTACTCCATTTTTTCACAGTTTTGCAGCAAATGAGTGGTTGATCCAGCAGCTCGAAACACTTACTGCAGTTGTTCTCTCCTCATCAGTGCATGGGTTTGCTCCCTTCGGGAACTTTCAGCTCTGGTGGCTATTTATCTAATTTTTCTTTATTCTTATTATTGCTATATCCCAAACAAATTAGGGTGCATCCGAATCAAAATTATTATTATTTTGAATCTCAATTTTACAGATATGTAGAGGGTTGAGACATAAGGGGAAGGAAGAAAAGAAAGTAAGGTGGAAATAGATAGTCATAGACTAATATTAAAGACAAAAAATAGATATGAACAAGAAAAAATTAGTGTGGCTGCTCTATAAACTGCAAATCTGTTGGAAATGAATTAATAGAATAATAAATATAATGGCTGCAATTGATTCTTTCATATGATGTTTCTCATTACCTTGTGTTATTTTTGCAGGATTTATTGGAATGGCCTTGTCCTATGGTCTCTTATTGAACATGTCCTTTGTTATGTCCATTCAAAACCAATGCACTCTAGCAAATTACATAATTTCTGTGGAAAGGCTCAACCAATATATGCACATACCAAGTGAAGCTCCAGAAATGATAGAAGAGAACTGACCCCTTGTAAATTGGCTGACTAGGGGTAAAGTGGAGATTCGGGTAAATTTTTTGTGCATTCGCATTTAAACTGACAAAGGATAGTAGCACACTGACTGAGAAATATATACATGATGTCAAAACTGATCAGATATAAGCCTGATGCACCACTTGTTCTTCGTGGGATAAGTTGTTCATTTGAAGGAGGACACAAAATTGATATTGTTGGAAGAACTGGCTGTGGGAAGACGACTCTGATAGGTGCTTCACAATACTAATTTGATAGGACACAAAATTTGATATTTTTAGTTCTTCACAATACTAACTTGTGGTAATCACATATTACCAGATCGACCATTTATTATTGTGGTTCATCTTCATTTGAGTGTTTATTTAACTGCTTTTAGTGCATTGATCCCTATTAGTATTTCATTGACACAGTTTCTGAATAACTTATTGGAGGTTTCTAGTTATTTAGCTGTCTCTGTGCAACTCTGTTTCAGGAACTTGTTCAGGATGAAGAAGATATAATTAAATTCTGTAAAGAAACTGGGTTACCTGTAGCACTGGATGAAACCATTGAAAATGTCTAAGAAAATTCTCTTGGAATGCTGGCAAAGTTTACTCACTCAGGAGTAGTTGCTGTCGTAAGTGGAAGTTTATTTTCTTATGTTAGTTATTGGGACGAGCAACATGTAATACGTATCATCGTGTATGCCTCATCAGACAGTACACTAGTCGCTGTCAATCCAATAAGTTCAATTTCTAAGCCTCGTGAAAAAATCTAACCATATGTTTTAAACCACATATAATTGAATGAAAATTTTGTTTTGGAGGTTTTCTTGCATACCTCAATCAGGACAAGATGCGTAAAACACTTTAGTGATTAAACTCATCTCAACTCATGTTATGCTTACGATAGTGTGCCTTTCATTTCTTTTCTATCTATGAAACATGAAAGCCATTACCACGATCAGAACCTACAAACTGCTACATCTGTTAAAATTCTTCAGTCACAATTTCCCCATCATTATTTATTCATCTTTTGACATGAATTATATTCAATGGGGAAAAAGTCAGAAATATGAACCTAATTTGGTTTCATTTTATAACTCTTGTCAGGTCATCAAACCAAGTGTTGTTGGGGGTTTCGAAAATGCAGCATTGATTGCAAGATGGGCTCAGCAGTAGGGGAAGATGAGTGTTGTTAGGGCTACATTTGAGAGTAGCCTAGGTTTGTCAGCTTATGTCCAGTTCTCATATTATCTTGAGCTGCAAAAGGCAGGTATATGTATGGCAATGAACAAGGAACCTTCCCCTTCTATAGCACATGGTCTTGGAAATTACGGCTGGCTTAAAGAAGATATAACTTCTGAACCTCTGAATATTTGTCGTAATCCATGCAGTGGCTTCATAGAAGCATCTGTTGATGATGCTGGCTGTCTCTTGGGGAACTTTCAAGTCGACAACAAGGTCATCCTTTGAAATTTTACTTGGGAAGAAGTTCATAAATACCAGTTAACAGTTAATTCATATGGTTTCTCTTTTTTCATCAATGTACATCAGATTGGATCAAGCAATGAAGTAAGCACTGGAATTTTAATTTTTATGTTAATATTTTGTATCCTTCGGAGTCTTTGATCCATTGAATTCACACAAAAAGCTCTAGGGTATTTAATACTTATGTAATTCCAGATAATTTGGCACATGATTAACTGCAAATAATGGAAAGCAAATAGTTCCTGGGTGCATTTTTTTTCTTTTGGTTTCTTGTACATAGTTGGTGGAAAAAATTAGAGGAGTTCCATTAATGTGGGGGGAGTGAGTTACACATTTCTCTATGTCATCTTTTGTAATGATATATGAAGAGTTAATGTCTATGTTGCGTGGTTATCTGTCCACATTTTGTATACCTAGCAACTGTAACAAAAAAACTTCTTTCCCTTTTTTGCACTTGTTAAAATGGCTTTCCATTTGCAGCACCACTGGTTAGACATACTGAAATTGAGTTAGGTGTGGTTATTCTTTATCACTCTTTCTTAATTTGAATGATACAGAATAATGTACTTGTGTTTCTCCATGGGTTTCTTGGAACTGTTGAAGACTGGATACCCATCATGAAGGCCATCTCAGGATCTGCAAGATGCATTGCAGTTGACCTAGAGAAATGACAATTGAAGACTGGATACCCATCATGAATGATGCAGAATAATTTTTTTTTGCAAAAAATGACAATTGCCGACCAAGAGTTTTGGTCGCAAAAAATACATCTATTGCCGACCAAAACAACTCTTGGTCGTGGAAACTCACTTTTGCCGACCAAAAATTTTGGTCGCGAAAAGTAACAAATGGCAACCAAATTTTTTGATCGTGCAATGTCACAATTGGCGACCAAACTTTTTGGTCGTTGAATGTGAGAATTAGCGACCAAACTTTTTGGTCGCAAAATGTGTCAATTGGCGACTAAGATATTTGGTCGGGAAAATATCACTTTTCGCGACCAAAGTGTTTTAGCGACAAAATGAATTAGTCGCGGTAATTAAATATTAGCAACCAAAAATTTAGTCGGCAAATCCAACTTTTGCCGACCAACCAAAATTTTGGTCGCGAATTACTTTTGCTGACCCTCAATTGGCGACCAAAGTAGCGACCAAAAAAATTGGTCGCGGATAAAATTTGCCGACCAAAAATAGACTTTTAGCGACCAATTTTTTTGTTGCCAAAAGTGTTAATTCTTGTAGTGTAGCTGTGAATATAAGCTGTTAACCTATTTGGTGCAGCTGCGAGATTATGGATTTAAGCAGCAGAGTAGTGTTTAATTAATAAACTGTAAAATAACTTTTTACTATATAATTATCTTTTTTGCCTTTATATGATATAAAAATGATTATTTTGTCATTTTTTTCAGTTTTAATTTTTTTTAAAAACATATTTTATTAATAAAAGTTAATATAATTAGTATTAATTAGTATCAATTAATATAAAAATTGATACATTTGACAAAAATGAAATTGAAGTATTATTGTAACAACTTTTTTCCATTATAAAATTAATTAATATCAATTAATTGCTTAATTAGTCTCAATTAATACTTGT